GGAACAGCCTGCAGAGTTTTTGTTCTGTTTTGTTTTTCTTTTACAGACATTAAGACATACGGGCCAGAACTGGCTTAATATGAGTCGAGCCAGTCAGATCTCAAAATTTCCAATGCCATCCCAACTGTTGAATTCTGGCTATTAAACAAAAAGGATGAAACAAATGGAGCTTGTAATGAAAAAAGAAAAGAAAAAAATAGTCCCCAAATCCTGGTTTGGTACTCAGGGCATCCATGGAACCATCCGGCAAGAGGGATAACAGCTTCTGGCACAACCCCCATTGGGGACAAGTGGGCAGGGGTTTCTGGTGTCTTTGAGGGTGGTTTATATACACAGGAAATGATTTCTTACATTTACTTCAGTTTTAAAAAATAATGCTAAATTTATTATAACTTTAAAAAACTATTTTTCTGTAAATTTCAAATTTATTTTATAAATCTTATTATTCTATTTAGACATCCTAGTAAATTTGAACAGTCACTTTCAAAGAAGCCTTTTGAATAGTGTTTGGTCCCATGTATAAATTTAGTTAATTATTGTAGACATTTTAAAGTGAATGAATACATTTAATATAATAGATTTTCTTTTCAAGTACTTCAAATGCTTCCTCCATGTAAAAATTATCCGAGTGAACCCAATAAATTAAACCTATAAATAAAGTGAATTTCATTCAAATATCACTCCAATATTGTTTACAAACTTAGTAAACTTCTCTACACCTCTCAAATAAAATAAAAAAAATCACTATTCCAAATCAGTTGGTGGATAACCGATTTCAATAGGAATCATGAGATATTCCTTTTCACTGACATGCAAGAGTCTCATAAACATTACAACAGACAACCTCTAAATGTAACCCCAGGATATTAATATGAAGGGTTTGATGAAATGATTTATGTGCTTAATGCTCAGCCACATCACTCTTTAAAGCTCTCACCACTAGGGCAGAGGTGCAGTTAGAATCACAAATTCCCCCTGGGGATGAAGCGTAGTAGTTCTTAAAGCTCCCAGATGATCCCGGTGCACAGAGATGCAGCGGAGAACACTGCTCTCTGCTCTAAGGAATGGTGTCTTATCCCAGGGTGAGAGCCAAGCTCCCATGTCCTCCCCTAACGGGTGACTGGCCAGACACTGCTGACCAGGAGGTAACGTGGTCAGACACCAGGGTGACTTTTCTCACCTCGAGCTTTTCAACAACCGGAACTCGGTATCCACTTCCTGTAGAGGGGCTTAGAGCGGCCTTTGTGGGTTAGTTTATGCTATTATGTAATTCTTTTGTAACCTCTCATTTTATCACTTGCTGTGCATAGAAAGACTTCTGTTACCTTACCCTTCACTGCTTATTGGGATGTGGCAAGCCCAGTGCCTTGTTTGGTTTTAGCCACAACTGCTGAGTCACTCTACTGTCACCTGTACCGCCTAAAAACAGAAAAGAGAGGAATTGGGAAGCCTTCCTGAGAGAGGTGGCATGTGGGTGGTCTTTTGACTGTGGCCACGGGCTTGAGGGACAGGGAGGTGAGGAAAGGACTTCTGGATGGAGGAACAGTGTGAGCAGCTTGGGTCCCAGAGGCCAAAGCAAGGCCTAGAGGCAGAAGCCAGAGCCGTAGGCAGGAAGGCCCAGGTTGGTAATGACACCATCTCCCAGTTCCCAGCCCAGGATCACGAGGGAGAGCCTGGCAGGGATTTCCCCCCAGAAACCCCTGTTGCACTTTGGGATCTGCCCCACAGGACCACCTCTCACTCAGGGACCCCAGTGGCCTCTCTGGGAAGAGTGTGACCTTTAAGCAGGACCATCGGCAGGAAACGCAGCAGCTCCGCTCTGTGCTGTGGCGACTGGCCTCCAGGTACCTGCGGCCCCACGAGTGGAAGAAGCTCGCGTATTGCTGGGAGTTCACTGAGGCCCACGTCCACGCCATCGAGCAACAGTGGACAGGTACCCCTCGCCTCGGCACCCCAGAGCAACCAGCAGGTGGAGGGGTAGGGGCACTGGAGGTATCTTCTGTTTTCGGTGCTTCTGGGGAAAAAGCCTGTGCAACCCACAGCCCAGCCACACGAAGCCGCGTGCCATTCCCAGCACACCGCGTGCTTTCTTCACGCATCGGGCCTCTGCACCGGCCTGCCCTCTGCTTCTCCCTCCCACTGCCCTGTCAACCTCACATTCTTCATGAATCAGCCGGAGCTGGTACTTACCGTTCATACAGGAAACGAAAGGCACCTCCAGGAAAAAGAGGAGCTGCTGTGGCCACTGTTAACATATATTTGAAAATGTTGGCCCTGGTACTAAGGCATGGAACAGAATTAGAAATGCGTGCAAATACTGGAAAGGAAGAGAGAGATTTACTAAGTTCAGATGCTGTAATTATATGCACAGGAAGTCCAGAGGAATCAGCTGAAAACTCTTAGAATAAAATGATTCAGTGAGCCGGCCAGCATGGCTCAGTGGTTGAGCATTGACCTATGCACCAAGAGGTGGCCGGTTCAGTTCCTGGTCGGGGCACATGCCCAGGTTTCAGGCTCGATCCCCCCAGCAGGAGGCAGCCAATTGATGGTGATGTTTCTCTCTGATCGATGTTTCTGTCTCTCTCACCCTTTCCTTTCTTCTCTCTCTAAAAAATCAATTAATACATTAAAAGATTAATTCAGCCCTGGACAGTTTGGTTTGGTGGTTAGAGCAGTGGCCCACAGACGGAAGATGGTCAGTCAAGGGCACGTACCTGGGTTGCAGGCCCGATCCTGGCCCGGGTTGAGGTGTGTGCAGGAGGCAACCGATTGATGTGTCTCTCTCACATCAATCTTTCTCTCTCCTCTCCCTCCCTCCCTTTCACTCTCTCTAAGAATCCATGAAAAAAAATATCTTCGGGTGAGGATTAACAACAACAAAAAAATTTAACTCCATGAAATGGCTAAATATATGATAAAATATGCAAACACCAGAGTATTCCTATGTACCATCAATAAGTGGGCCAAATAAATAGAGGCATTTTAAAAAAGATATTACTTTTATAATAATGTGTTTTTATAAAAAGAAATATGAATGACATATTAATAAAACAATAAAAATTAGTTTAGCCATAAAAGAAGACTTGGGTAAATGGAATGACATTTGATATTCCTGGCTGGAAATAATATCTTATAGATATTGATTTTTTCCAAATTAGATTAAAACTTTGATCTAATTTTAATCAAATGAATATAGGAGGTTTTTGAAACTTGACTGAAAGAATAAACAGGGAACATGTAAATGAATATTCCGGGGGGGAGGTAGTGAGGATGATCTAATGCAACCAGACTCAATCATTTATAAAGTTAAAATAAATAATATAGACACCTGACACAAAAATATGCAAACCAATTAGTGGAATAGAGCGGCGTATCCAAAAGTAAACTTTATTATGGACAAGAGCTTTCATAGCTGATGGAGGGGCACTGGGGGGCAAAGGCCAGTGAACAAAGGGGTCGGATGAAACTGCCGTGCCAAGGGCAGCACCGGGAGGACGTGCCTGCTGAGGACCCACAGGGGGGCAGGGCAGACAGCAAAGGACTGACCTCGACCCACGGCTGTGCCCGCCATCGCCCTGCCTGGGAGCAGACCTAGTCACAGAGTTTAAAACCAGTTAATCCCCCCACCGGCGCCGAAGAGTGTGAACACTTATTTTCCGAACATGGTGGCACCTTGGAGTCGCCTGGGAAGCGTTAATGCCACTCAGTGCCTGGGCCGCCCCCAGACCCACGCTTGTCGGGAGCTCAGGGGGAGGGAGGGTACTGGGTGTCCATAGTTCCTAAAGCCTCCCAGGTGCTCCCGATGGGCACTCAGTTGAGAACCAGATGCCGGGAAAGAATGTGGCCAGCTCGGCCTCTGACTAAGCCCGCTTCTCCCGGTAGAGGAGGGCCGCTGGTATGCGAGGCACAGGTTGTCCTGAGCAGCAGAGGCGAAGCCGACCGCCTTGTGCATCGGGTACCAGTGATGCCAATTCTCTCTTAAGAGTGACACCAGCGGCATGCGTGGTAGATGCTCAGGGGAGAGCCTGGGGCTGGGGAGTGCAGGGTCCCCAACACAGAACCTCCACCCGCACCCTGTCTGCGGCTGCTCTGCCCTCCCCTCCCCATCCCTGGGCCGAACCCCTCAGAGTAGAGGAGGGCCCGGTGTCCGGAGGCGGGACAGGGCAGCATGGGCACGTGCTTAGATCTGGCTCATGCTAAGTGGGCCAGGCGATTCCTTTTCCTTTTCTCTTTCTCCTTCATGGTCCTCAGGCACCAAGAGCTACCAGGAGCATGGCCACCGGCTGCTGCTCATCTGGCTGCACGGCGTGACCACGGCGGGTGAGAACCCCAGCAAAGTGCTCTTCGAGGGCCTCGTGGCCATCGGCAGGAGGGACCTGGCTGGTAAGAGCGCCCCCCGCCCCGCTCCTGCTCAGGGCAGCGCCCGGCCCCAGGGTCAGAGCAGCGTGGCCCCCGCTGGAATGCGGCAGGGCCTTCCCAGGCTGCTCAAACCACTGCCGTGGCGCTGGCTCTGAACCTTCCAGATTCCTGGTCCCGGCTCTGCCTCTTTCTGGAACTCAGGCGGCCCGTGGGCGGATCACAGTCCCTCCTGGCCCTGGGTTCCCCACCTGTGCAAGGAGGGTGCTGTCCCAGGTGATGCCTATGAGCAGTGGTTCTCAACGTCTGGCCCTTTAAATACAGTTCCTCATGTTGTGACCCAACCGTAAAATTATTTTCGTTGCTACTTCATAACTGTAATGTTGCTACTGTTATGAACGGTAATGTAAATATCTGATATGCAGGATGGTCTTAGGCGACCCCTGTGAAAGGGTTGTTTGACCGCCAAAGGGGTCGCGACCCACAGGTTGAGAACCGCTGCCTATGAGGTTCACAGCCCCGGAGCCAGGGATGCTACAGTCTCTTCCTCTCTAATTTCCAATGCCATCCCAACTGTTGAATTCTGACTATTAAACAAAAAAGGATGAAACAAATGGAGCTTGTAATAAGAAAAGAAAAAAATAGTCCCCAAATCCTGGTTTGGTACTCAGGGCATCCATGGAACCATCCGGCAAGAGGGATAACAGCTTCTGGCACAACCCCCATTGGGGACAAGGCCAGCTCTCGATGACAAAGCCCTACACGCTGCGATGTGCACTGGAGGGCGCTTTACGGGAAAGCACAGGGTGGGGTACCAGGCAGTCGCCAATAGTAGTGAAGGCTGCGTTAGTCATGTGGCAACAGGAAAGCATGTTACTGAGGGGAGAGGAAAGCCCCGGGCATGCTGGCCATCGCAGCGCTGCCACGGGCAGGGTAGGAAAAGAGTCATTTCAGAGTGGAGGAATTAGGTATAACTTCTTTCTTTTTCCAAACTGTTAAATCTTACTGTTGCTTCTTCTTTTAACACAAATTCTGGCAGCCAGTGAAAACCTGAAACGAGCCCTTAGGCAACAGGAGGCAATAGGAGTCTCGTCTTTTGCAGAAAGCATCAGGAGGAAGGTAAACGCCGACCCGGGCACCCCCAGGAGGTGCACAGCCATGTAACCAGAGGGGCTGGACCTTCAGGAGCCTGGGACCTTGGAGTGGGGGCCACGGAACAGAAGACGACCACCACTTAAGGACTTAAAAAAAGAATCACCGTTAACAAACCTCCAGCTGCTTTTACTGAAACATCGCCATGCAGGGCCAGCAGGCAAATGTTTGCGATTTCTGTTCACTGTGATTGGTCCAGGGGCTGTCTTGGGTTTTGCAGGTAATCCCTTCCCACAGGTATGGTCCTTCGCATCTCTCAGCTCACTTTCATCCCCATCAGCTCAGAGCCTCACAGGGTGCAGGAGGCGTCTTGTCAGAAAGGACACGGGCTCAGGCTCGCTGAGCAGCTAATCAGGCGGTGAGGTCAGGTGCCAAACCCAGCATTCCCGTCTCTCCAACTGCTGAAGGGCTCCATCCATCACTTACAAACGGACCGCCCTTAACCCATCCGCTGGCTTTTAGGAATGCTGTGCTGGTTCCACAGCTGTGTCTGTTCCCAGGTTTATCTGTACGTGTGGACAGTTCCATGAGGCACACACTCTCATTTTTTTTCCTCTCGTAACATTTTTTAAGGTTTTAAAACATTTTTGAAATCATTTTAGGCTTACAAAAATGTTGCAGAAACAACACGAATTTCCAAATACTCTTCACAATACAGCTTCCCCAAGTATTAACCTCTTACATAACCAGAGCATAATTTCCCAAACCAGGAAATGAACACTGATACAAGACTGTTAGCTTATCTTCAGACCTTATTCAAATTTAGTCAGTTGAGCCATTTTTCTGCACCAGGATCCAGTCCAGGATCTCTCCTTGCATTTAGTTGTCATTTTCATTAAAAAAAAATTTTTTTTTTATTGATTTCAGAGAGGAAGGGAGAGGGAGAAGAGACAGAAATATCAACAATGAGAGAGTATGATTGATCAGCCGCCTCCTGCACGCCCCCTACTGGGGATCGAGTCCACAACCCGGGCATGTGCCCTGACCGGAATCTAACTGTGACCTCCTGGTTCATAGATTGATGCTCAACCACTGAGCCACACTGGTCAGTCGTCATTCTCATTTGTATAGCCCCAGTAAGAAGACTCACCTCTCTGGAGCAGCTCTATTCAACGCAGCTTTCTGCGATGATGGACATCTGTGCACTACAGTTTATTTGCCACTGGCTGCCTGTGGCCATTGAGCACTTACAATGTGGCCAGTGGGCTGAGGAACTGAGTTTTAAATTTTATCTCATTTTAATTGTTTGAAGTTTAAATAGGCACCATAGTAAGTGGCAACCACATTGGACGGCACCGCTGGTCTGGAGTCTCACGTTCAGGTGACAGGCAAGCAGGTGACTGTGCAGCTCAATCACACCCACCCACGTGTGGCTCCAGGGGAATGTGACTGGAAGCTTCACGGCTCACAGCAGGGGGAGCGATATGCGGGGGAGCCTGGAAGTTGAAATTCTCCTGCCACGCTTGCTAATTCCAGCTCTTTTGCATGTGGCACAGGTGGTGATCAGTGGGGAGCCTGCATCTTAGAAAAACTCCTCACAAAGTTACCCATTGGGCCCAAGTCCTGGGAAGGAAATAGAACAAAATCTCTTGGAGCTGAAAGGGGTTTCAGTGACCACACATGGCGGGTGGGGTTCACAATGGTACAGTCCTCTGAAAAGCACTGTGGCATTAGCTACCAGAGTTACAGGTACATTTCCCCTTCACCCAGCAATCCCACATCTAGGGATTTACCCCAAGAGAAACCTGCTAACACTAGTGCAAATGAATGCAGGGGACACTGTGCCGTGGAGAGGGGAGTGTGGGAAATCTATACCGTCTGCTGTTTTTTGTACTGGTTTAAAAATTAAGTCTATTAATTAAACAAAGAAATCTCACAAACTAAGTTTTGAAAAGAAAGAGGCTTTGAAACCAGCCCATGTTACAGGCAGAAACCTGGTGACGAGAGGCGTGTCTTGTAGAGGCCACACAGCTCACATGGATCAGACCCGGCATAGCAGGCCGCCTCCGTGCCGTGGCCCCCGTCCTCCGCATGGTAAACCCTCCTCTTCCATCTCCCACTTGGGAGAGGTACTTTGTACCACATGGGACTTAGATCTTTTATCTGGATGGATTTTGCACAATGAATTATGTATTTTTTTGAGACAAAAATAGCAAGTTCTTAAAATAAAATTGAAATGTTGAAACATCTCTCAGATTCAATACCCGTTTCCTTTGTTTGGGAGACCTACGGCAAAACTTCAGCTGAGACAAGCTGTTGTGGATCGGTTCTGTGTAACCGCAACCGTTCAGCTCACCACCAGCAGTCAATGACTGAGTGTCTTCCGAGCCGGGCAGTCTGCTGGGAGCCGGGGAGCTGCACGGAGGAGCCCCCAGTTCCTGCCCTCTGGAAGCTTGTGGTCTGGGCGGCGGGCGGAGGAGCTCAGATACCAGTAATGTAATAGAATGCGGCCGGTGCTTGAATGGGTATATGCAGGGGGGAAGGTGAGAGGCTCACAGAGAAGACAGACGTGGGCAAAGCACATTCCAAGCAAAGAGCAGTCTATGCCGTGGCACGGAGGCGTGTCTGTCTGCAGAACGGTGTGGCTGAACACAGGAAGCATGGGAAGGGAGGAGAGAGGTGCTGGAGGGGCAGGAGGCCCAGGGGCCGGGCGTGCAGTAGGGTGGACTTTTCAGCCCTCATTGAGACGACTCCAGGGGGCACTGGTAGCCCCGCAGCTCCCTCGTCTGTCAGCCTGAGTCACGATGCCCAATCCATCTTCCTTCCACAACCTTCCTTCTTTTGATCTTTAATAAGCATCTTGCTCGCAATGTTTCATCAGCATCTGCTTCGGCCTGAGGCATGGAGGTGAAGGTGTGGTGATGGGGTCCAAGATGGCCGAGTTTCTAGCTGGGAAATCTGGGGAGCAGTGGTGTTGGGAACCAAGATGATGGGGTTGGGGAGAGCAGGGGCAGGTTTGGGCAGTGGGGACATGGGTGTAGCTTTGGCCAGGAGAGTTGGGGGTGCCTGTGGAAGACTGGCCTAATAGACAGGCCTGGATGTGCATTCAAGGCCAGCACTCAAAATCAGTCAGGGCAGGAAATGGCAGTCGTCAGCGGGGAGAGCCAGGGAGGCATGGCTCACAAGGGAGAATTAAAGAGAGTGGGGGGCAGCCCTGGTTCATTACCGCACCAGGTAAGGGGCTGCTGCTGACCACGTGTAGACTGGCCCTGCCCACAGGCCCTCCCTGTTGGTTGGGAAGTCAAGACACCCTCGGTGAAACTATGGCAGCCTCAAGGAAGACTCAATGCTAACAGTTAGAAATGGCAAGCCCTGCCTCTATGGCTTACCAACTGCTTCCCTAATTCTCGACTGCTGTCAAATCATCAGGCAGTCAGGGAAGACACTGCACCTCTGAGGACCGACCATTGGCTTTAGGCATGACCCAACGTGGCAGTCCAGTCCCGTCCTTACTGTGTGACACCCAGCAGTCTCTCCACCTCTCCAAGTCTCTGCGCCTGGAAAATCAGTCTAAAATCTGGAAAAGTACGGCCAACTCAGTATTCTGAAAACTTAAAGAAACATGAATGCTGACCTTTTTGTCTAAATTGTACCTCAGAGAAACCAAGTAGTTAATGAGGCAAAATTATAGTTGTCTTTTGTTCAATCGGTGAACTCCAGGTAATAAATGCAGAAGGAATACTAAGCCTTCGAGTACTGTCACTGTCCTGCAGCCCCTGAAGAAATGATGCTTGTGTGCGATGATCAGCAGTGGCAGCTAAACCATCCGGGGATTTTCCAATGACTGCATCAGGCTGACAAGGAGCGATCTTAAGAACTTAGACACAGAGAGACATTATGTGCCTCCTAAAGTTCCCAACAGGAAGCACACACCACCTGTGAAGCATTCCTGCCAAAAAGAATGAGCTCAAACTTGCTCAAGCCTCTACATGCTATTATCAGTTTATGGGAAATGCCAGGGACAGAGAAGTTAAAGGACACCGTGAGTTGCCATCAGCCAAATCCAGACTGTGGTGAATTCTATAGGGCAAACAAGCCTGTTTCTTCAACAAGTAAATAGCAAGAAAAAAATAGAGGGCAGAGGGAATTATAGTTTAAAAGAGATTTAAGAGACATTTCAATCAAATACAAAGTGTGAACTTTGTATGGAAGCTGATTAGAACAAAATCATAAAAGGACGTTTATGAGGTAGTCATGAATGGGAATATTGACTAATGATATGAAGGAATTATTGGTGAACTGTTAAGTATGTTAATGGCATTATGGTTATTTTATCTCTTGAAAGTACATATAGAAATATTTATAGATAAAATCATATGGTATCAGAAACTGCTTTAAAGTAATCCAGTGATGGGAGTAGGTGTGGAAGAAGGGATGGTGGGATAAGAGATGACATAGCACTGTCCATGACTTGATAATTTTTGAAGCGAGGTGAGTGGGACATGGTTCATTATATTATTTTTCTCTACTTTATGTGTGTTTAAAATTTTTCATTAAGGAAGGAAAAACAAGGTCTCAAAAGTACCTGGTACAGAGTAGCTGCTCAATAAATGATAGCTACTATTATTTTACAATGAGCAAACTGTGCTTAAGAGAGATTAAGTAAGTTACCTAAAGTCACACTGAATTGGCAAACACCATGGTCTGCTTCTCAGAAAGTCCTGTCTGTGTAGCCCGATACAATAATCATAAAAGCCAGTCACTGAAATTGAATTTTTATTCCAAATGACTGTAATGGCTAGAAAGACAACAGCTAAAACTCAAAACAACTTGCATAACTGGAATTGGAAGTAGTTGATCTGTAGGAGAGTAATTGGTGTGGTGACAACCTTGGCACTTTGGTAACAGTTACAATAAGAAAGCACAGAAACAACCAATGTCCTTCTAATACACGATCTGGATGTGCAGTATTTATAGCAAATGATATAAAAAGGAAGAAAGGAAAGAAAGAAAAAAAGGCAAGGAAAAACCCCTACAAAATCCCAAACCTCAGAAAGTAACATTCACATAAGTACACGATGGTGAAGACTCTTGGTAGCAAAATTCTCACAATTCTTAAAATGGAGTCTTCAAAAGTACTTCTTCAAATTCAAAAGCTAAAAAAACCAAAGAGGGAACAGTTACACTGGCTCAGAAGAGCTGCCGCCTGCCACAAAGGGGACCATCAGTCCTACTTCCGAACAGTGATAACCGGCGAGCCTGACGAACTGAACAGAGAGGCTGACTGGCGGGCACTGATGTCACTGATTGTACAGGAACATGCTGGGTCACTCGTCATCACCAGCCAAAGCGCCAGCTACTGCTCCTCCTGACTGAGGCCGAGGTTGCCTTTTTGCACCTCGAGCTCCTCGGCACTGACCATCGATGGGTCGATGGCCGCATATTTGGTTCCATGGAATTGCAGCAAATGTATCTGTAGAAATGCAGAATCATTATTTTAAACGTCACCATAGTATATAAATGCTCTGTCCCTCTAAAATTAGAGTAATAGCTACTAATTAGAGAAAAATTGGGCAACACGGAAAAGTCAAAGAAGTATTTTTTAAAACCACAGTTTGGGATCTTTGTTCCTCATTTAGTATGTAGCCAGCCTCTCTAAGTTCCTACAAACTCTTGATAAACATCTGAAGGGGTGCACGCTGCTCTGTGAGCAGGGGTTTACCCTCCCCCCTGCTGCTGCAAGGCGGGTCCTCCCAGCCTCTGCTGTGCTGCCTAGCACCATGCTGAATGTCTCTGGGCATCAAGCTTTTCTGTAGTTAGGATCCTCTCCTTCGGATCCATTTCCACAAGTGGATGGCAAGATCAAAGGACGTGACTGGTTGTTTTTTTTAAGATTCTTAATACTTTCTGCCAAATTGTCAAAAACAATCATTTCTCACCGATATTCTA